TTCTTGTGTGCAGGAATTCTTCATTAGATTGTTGTGACCCTAATTATGACCTTGCTCTGTTTTTCAAATCTTTTTTTTTTTAAATAGAATGGTCTGCTGCAGATTGTCTCAATCAGAATAAACTTGCTGTCTATCAGCTGAGTAACAGACGGAAAACCGCAACTAAAGTGTTCCCTGACTGCTCCAAGGTTTTGCGATCAAAGACAATGAGTTACAGACTTGACACAGCATTGGTTCTCAAGATCGACGAGACTGGTGATTCCAGCAATGGTGATGGTATTGGTCTAACAACTGGGTCATTTGATTTTAGCAATGCTAGACAGGTTCTTCAATGCCCTGGTTCTGTTAGCATCAATTCTAAAGGTATCGTATATGTCAATGGAGTACCCATGACAACAAGATTGCCGCCATTCAAGCGTGGCTCTGTAGTTGTATTTGAAGCAAGTAGAGTCTCCAAAGAAAAGCTTCGAGTGTCAATCACTATGGATGACAAGCTAGTGACATTTGATTGGCAGGTGGATGACCCCTGTGATGGATTTTATTTTGCAATGGGTTTTCAACATTCTGGTTGGCAAATTTCAGTCTAATGTTAAATTTTTTTCCTTCAGATAGCATTTAAAGACCTAAGTATAGACTGAAAATATTTGATTTATAGATAGAAAAGTTTAAATTGAGTTTACCTGTTAATTATAAGCATAAAAATTAGAGCAAAATTTCATGGTAAGGTAGGTTTTAGCCATGATAAATAACTATTGACTAAGTACGTGGGGAACAACAAGCATCGTTTTGGAAGTTTTTCTTTAGTTGCCACACACTGAATAGTAATTGAATAATCAAATGTGGTCACACAGTCAGAAGAATTATTTGTAAAATGTCAGGTAAAGTCTGAATGTATAAGCTGAAAAGATATGACAAAGCTGTTGTCAGTACATGCCCTAATTTTTTCAGCATCAATTTTTTTGTTGTTGTTGTTTTTTCATTTTTCAACTTGGCTGTCTTAACCTTTTCAGTGAAATC